CCCGGGCGGCTACATCGTCCGCCGATGACATGTATAACGACGTGACTTTCAGTGATTGATCGTCCGGACGAAATATTTTATCTGTTCTTTGACAGACCCTTTTTCCCGTTTTTAGGGTAGTTTTGTCTTGTTATTTCTTCATCTTATCTTTTATTTTGTTGTTGTTGTAGGTTTTTTGGGGATGTGCCTCATGGATTTCTTTTTACCCCCTCTTGTTTTTTCTCCATCTCGATCCATTCTTGGATGTGCCCTGACATTAAACTAGAATGACTTGCTCTCATCTAAAATTGTTAGATCTACATATTTAATATGTTTTATGTTTTAGCTGTTAATGATAAATCATTTTTGTTAGAAAATAAAGTAGAGGAAGGATCAAACAAGTGGGATATTGCACTTGTTGGTTATGACTTAGGTAAGCTTTGGAAATTTAAAGGCTCGATTGAGCTCATTTCTCTCACCAAATGTTTTTTATTGTTTAAATTTAACTGTTTGAATGATTTAGAGATTGTTTTGTCTGGTGGACCATGGTTATTGGCGGTAAACCTTTTCTATTTAAATGTTGGTCTCATGATTTTAGACCGGTTAAAGAAGAATTCGAAGATGTGTCTATATGGGTTAAATTTTCAGAATTGCCTCACTTTTGCTAGTAGAATTTCTAAAATAGCTAGTATAATTGGTATTTCTTTATCTATTGATCATTTCGCTGCTAAAGGAACATGACTTACTGCTTCCATTATGTTTTTTCTCTCTTTTATTTTTGTAGGAGTCGTCAGTTTGTCGATCGTCGTATACTTCCCTTCTTCAAATACATCTCTCTTTCGGGTTATATGAATAGCCCAGAGAAGAGAGGAATAAAAAAAACAGATATGCGAAAAATATGACAGACAAGAGAAAAAACAAAACGTAGAGAGTCTACGTGTGATTAACGTTGCAAGAATATGTCAAAACATGTCCGCCCGAATAAGATCGGGTAGAGACGCCTTGAACCAACATTCGCGAAAAGAATGTCTACGTAGACTACTCATAACCAGAGATTCAGGTGTATGTCTGTTTTGGGGTCAAGAACACTCCCAAGGGGACGCATCCCATTTGGTTAATTCCAACTTGGGGGTACCCAAGAATACAATCGATAAAAATTGTATCGTTGGTATTATCATAGACCTGGGAAAATAGATTATCAAAGGGAGGTTATTCCGTGTGGGAACGCTCATATGCTTCAAAGCTTTCGCTAAGTCATTGGATAGAGAGTGAGTCTCTCACATACCAAGTAGGTAGCTGTTTGTCGGCATATGATACTCACGAAATAACCAATAATCATCTCGACGGGGGTACCCTAATACGTCAAAGCACGTCCGGGCCGTAAGGGCAGAGAACAAATTGTCATATCCCAAATAGGCGACAGCTCATCGACATCGGGTCATCAAGATGATACCAACGAAGTCAATAGAAGCGAAAGGGCTTAACAGGGGTAGTCATAGGAAAGAGAAGAGTAATCCCTAAGAGGTAGAAGTAGCTGAGTTAGGGTACCACAAACCCGTCATACCAAGTTATTAAGACCCTAAGTCTACCTAGTCGTAAAAGACGAAGTCAATAGAAGCGAAAGGGCTTAACAGGGGTAGTCATAGGAAAGAGAAGAGTAATCCCTAAGAGGTAGAAGTAGCTGAGTTAGGGTACCACAAACCCGTCATACCAAGTTATTAAGACCCTAAGTCTACCTAGTCGTAAAGGAAGTCGACCCAACACGTCTCGAGATCCCCGGTCAGTAAAACGTGAATTGCATCGCCCACGGGAACCTCGGCAGCCCTAAGGTTAAAGGAAGGAAACTCTATCCTATGACTATAAGTTGGAGCTCCAAGAGGTGGAACTTACACCTGCTAAAGTGGTAAGGATGCCTCAGGAAAGAAAAAGAGGTAGAGATTCATCTACAAAGCTTGAAAAGCTCACCCCGCCTGAGTCGGGAAACTTCTTAATGACTTAGGTGCACTAGACAACTTCCTATGTAAAAAAAATGTATGATGGGTCAGTCGGATTGAAGAAGTCGGGGGACATGCAGATATGAATGAAGTAATTTAGAGCGGTTTTTAATTATTGTGAAGTCCCTATTAATAAGACTTGGGTTATGATCATGCTATACAACTCGTTTTAAAATCAACTCATAGACCATGTAAGAAAGTAAAAGCAGATTTTTAAATTCCTGAAGATTTTAATCCTAAATTTTAATTTACCTTGATTTTTTAAAGATTTTTTTAAGTACAAAAAAATTATAATTTTAGGATATTCAATGAGCCTAAATTATATTTTCCGTGAAATCTCAGATGTACAAAAACAAACAAAAAAATATGCAGACATCTAGTCATGTAATAGAAAGTAAAAAAAGCAAATAAAATAATAAACAGGCCGGTGTCACTGGATTGACAACATATCCCAGAAAAGAAAAAGAGCGGTCGGACTCCGCATGTACATGTCTGGTCCTAATTTGCGTCAAATGCATCGGAACCCGTGCCCGTATAATATTTATGCTACAGAACTCTCCTATGACTCTAAAAAGGATATAGGAAAAGAAAAAAAAAAAGAACTTGATCTGCATGAAAATAAGTATTAGCGGAGAAAGCTATGCAACACATATAATGAGTCATGTCTTATAAGTGAATGAGCTAAATAACCCATGAAAGCAAAAGTGTTAGAAATAATTACATGCTCCCACATAGCGGTACATGTGTGTGTGCATATAAATAGACACCGCTCCTTGCAGAAAAACGCCCTAATACACTACTATGCATATGCAACATGCAAACACACCAAAAAGCGCAAAAAAGTGATGTGTGGCTAGCGCAAGAGCAAGAAAACCATCACAGAACAATAATCGGAAGCGTCGAAAAGACTACCTAAAATCCTAAAACCTCAACCTAACACACCATCTATGATAAGTGTCATAACCAGCATCTAAGTGCGGGGTAAATCTCCAGGAAGAGCATGGCTTTGGCGGGGTCACCTTACTGGTCACGCTTTAAAGATCCAAGAGATTTAAAGGGGGTCACTCAATGTGGATTTTAAAAAGAGATGGATTTATATACGGTCTAATTTGCTACATGCGTAATTTTAAAATTATGGTGGACGTAATAATATATAATAAATATTTTTTTATATTTTTAAATGTTAAAATAAGGGTCATTAAATTTGAATCTGTATCATGCAAGGTGACACAAGTTATGTATTTTGGATCATTAGCATAGTCATACTTATGTCGATCCCGATGACTTAACTCACATTGCTCACCGAGATCGACCAGGCAAACAATGCTCGTTAATACATCGCAACAGACACATGAGTCACTCTCTTATTGAGTCTGACTCGTTATCCATGCAAGCATGCAAATGCAAACAATCACACAAAAGAGTGGTCAGAGTGAGTGTGTCGAGGAGACAGTGACTTAGGCAACTGAGAACATCGTATGAGTAGTGATCCAACGATAGACGTGTCGTGGAGGCAGAGACCTGAAGAAAATGAGTAATATTAACAAATGAATCATGCAAACTAACACATACAATAAGCAAAGCATCATACAAGCAAACAAACATGAAAAATGATGCAAAGAACGTACAAGCATGCAAGTGATCGATCGACCTGGTCGTGGTGATCTGTCGAACCAAAGTGATCGGTCGAACGGGCTGGGGCGATCGGTCGAACCAAAGTGCTCGGTTGACCTGATCGGGGCGGTCGAATGAACCAAAGTGGTCGATCAACTGGGCCGGGGCGGCTGGTCGAACCAAAGTCCTATGTTGACCGGGCTGGGGCGCTGGTTGAGGCAAAGTAAAATGTCGACCGAGCCGGTGCGGTTAGTCAAGGCGAAGTGAAGTGTCGATCGGGTCGGGGCAGCCAGTCGAGGAGAAGTGAGAAGTCAATCGTGATGGGGCAACTAATTGAGGTGAAGTAAGATATCGACCGGGTCGGGGCGACAAGTGAAGTGTCGACCGGGCCTTAGCAGTCGGTCAAAGCGAAGTGAGATGCCGACCAGAATGGGACTGTCGGTCGTGACACAAGTGACATGCAACATGTTTCAAGCAAGATATGTGATGCAATCTAAGGCAAGCAAACATGCTTGATAGCAAATCAGACTCGTGTTAACGCCTTCACGTAAGAACCTAAAGGTTTGTGCTCTTAGATGTGCAGCATAGCCGCTTACGGCTTTGGCGAGGTGTGTGGGGAGTTTCTCCTCGGGGATTCTAAGGGGGAAAACTCTCCACAAAGCTGTGAAATGGACTATCCATAAAGTTTTTCAAATTTAACAATTCCTCAGAATTTTGCTTCAAATTTAACAATTCCTCATAATTTTGCAAAGTGAGCTAGTTACAAAGCTTTTCTCACTTTGCAAAACCAAACTCTCAAGTTCTCCAAGGAAAATTAGGGAATCCAAAGCAAGGGGGGAAAGAACTCCAGCCAGTAAGGATTTGTGCTAGGGGTCGCAACAAAAGGGAAACACTTGGCTTTACAAAGAGTGTTTGGCCAAACACAGAAAATTCTAACCTAAAGACTCGCTTTAGGAAAGCAAACGATCTATCATATAGACACGTGACCGCACCGGCTCACGCGACGCACGCACCCCGTGTGGATAATCGAACCCACACGCCCAACGACACTAAATCCTAGTGCTAGCTAAGAACAAAAATGTCAGGGAGGAGAATCTTACCATCATGTAGGTTGTAGACGTCCAACGAAGTCCGGAAAGAAGCTCTCCTCGAGAGAAAGGAAAGACGTCCACACTTTTCTACGGTGCACTTCCGTCGGTGTCCGCGGACGGTGAAGATGCTCACTGCAGGAGGCTTTCGGATCAAGATGCCACACCTTCGAGGTAGAAGAAGCTCACGGAAAAAGTCTCTTGGACCAAAAAGCTACGCCGCCGAGGTAGAGGAAGCTTGCTTCAGGAAGCTCTAGGACCAAAAAGCTACGCCACCAAGAGGAAGCTCGCGCAAGGGTATCTTGGACTAAAAGGCTACGCCGTCAAGGTGGCTTTGCTGGCAAGAGAGGAAGTCGACGGAGGGTGTTATGGTCACGAGCACCGGAGGAGACATGAAGACTAGGGCTCCGCGTGAGAGGGAGCTGGAGTCAGCCGGAAGCGCGAGGAAAATTTCTCCGACGGAGGGAGCCAACAAGAAGGCTCGGCTGGGAAGGAAAGCTAGGGCACGCCAAGGATAAAACCCGGAGAAGTTTTCGACTAGGACAAGTGTAGCCGGCGAAGAGCTTGTGCACCAAGGAAAGAGGTCTCTGGCGAGGGTTCGTGCAATGAAGGTGGGCTAAGGGAGGTTAAAGCGTCGTTGGGGCATGCCGAAAAAATTTCAGACCGAAGGAGAAGGATCAGAAAAGGGGTTACCTGCGTGAGGAGGAGACGCCGTCGAGCTCGGTGCTGTCGCCGGAGAGGAGCGGCGCGAGCGAGGATGGCGCAGAGCGGCGAGGCTAGGGCTACGGTATCGCGAAGCAGAGGAGTTCGTCGTGGGCGTGAGTTAGGGATTTGGGATTTGGGGATTGAAAATATTTATTTATTTATTTATTTATATAATAATATTGTTATTTATTATTTAAAATTCTTGTTTAGCGCATTTTCTTATATGTACAGAATCCAAGATATATTGATGTCCTTCCCCAGTAAAATCGACGTTCTGGACGTGTTTGTGCGGTCTGTTTAGTCATCCGGGATCATTTGGACAACTTCGCTGATGGATGGGTCAAATCAAATTTGATTTGTGTGTGATACGGCGAATGCGATATGTCGGTCCAATCGGAGTTGTTTGACTTGCAAAATGTGGATTGTCTTTCACCAAAAAGGATGCCAACACTTATGCTAGAGTTAATAATCAAGTCAATATTAACTCGATATTATTCGATATCCTTACTATTGTGGCTAGGGATAAAGAAATTACTTTGCTTGTCATTTATGAATGGAAACTAGTTCCATGCAGGAATTGTTTTATCTCTGTTCATAATCCTTCCTCTTGCCCCAATATTTCATCTAATGCCGGAAATGCTATTATTCTCTTAAATAGAGGAATGAATAAATACATGAACTCCACTACTAGTAATCAAAGATATTGTAGTAAGTCTTAGACATATGCATGTTAATAGTAGAGGCAATATTCAAGTTTTTGACCCTGATTTAAATCTTCTTCTTACTAATATTTCTATTAGCAATGAATAGGATAACAACATTGTTGTTTTACCATCTCTTACTTTTGATGAGTTTAATTTGAATGTGAACGGAAATAGTAAGCCTGAGATAAGTAATTTTGTGAATAATGGAATTAAAATTCAATTAAATGTTATATCGAATATTTCTAATTATGTAATTCATTGTATTGAAACTATTCTTGTGATTAATGTTGCGGTTAATGAGGCCGTTATTGTTAGAAATGATGATTAAAAGAGATGGATAATAGAAAAGATGTTTATGTGGGGATTCTCTTCATGGATAATAGAATTACCTTGAAACATGGCATCCACAAAGAGAATCCCTACATAAACCGTCCATAACTAGAGAACCAAAGATAACATTTTTGTTATGGAGTCAAGTTTCTACGAAGAAGACGTATCACTTTGGTTAATTATATGAGAACCAAAGATAACATTTTTGTTATGGAGTCAAGATTATACGAAGAAGACGTATCACTTTGGTTAATTATATCTTGGGGGATACACAAAAATGCTCTCGATAAGAGTAGCTTCACTTATATTATCATAACTTGGTGAAATAGGATACCAAAGGATGATTATGTCATATGAAAATGCCCCGTTGCTTTCGAAGCTCCACATGACAGAAAATGAGTCTCTCACATCCCAAATTAACAATGACACATCGATATGTGAAACTTAGGAAATAAGCAAATATTTTTTTACGAGGATATCTCTATACCTCAGAGCTCACCGGGCCAAAAAGACAGAAGGTGAATCACTATATTCTAAATGGGCGACAGCTCATTAGTAATTGGGTCATCAAGAGAATACCAATGAAGATGACAACATGGCTCAAAAGAGCTTAACAAAAGAAGTGTAGAGTGATCCTAAAAGGCAGAGGTGGTCGGGTTAGGATACTTAGAATTACTGGAACAAATGATGTGGTTGGCACAACCTTATCTTTTATGGAATTTTGGATGTTAGGGATTTAAGAAAAAAAATGCTCAAATTCGTATGGGAGAGTCCACGAAAGGCCCGTAACCTATCGGTCTCCTCTAAGCACAGAAGTTCTAGTCTCTAATCCTCTAACATTTAGACATATGGGGCACTAAGAATGTAAAGAACAAGATTTTAGAAGATTTCTCACAGCAGCGATAGTTGATCGACGTCCTGAGTTTTGTCTTGGTTGAAGCTTTGATAATGATAGAAGAGAAGGTGTCAAGGTCTTTCCCCCCTAAAGAAACAAGGAAGCTCTCTTCACCGGAGAGATTTTGAAGCCCACTGGATTTCTCCTTCTATAATGTAGGATGACAGTCTCCTCGCCAGAGGGATTGCTGGCTGACTGAAATGTAACCTTCACCAAAGTAAATTGATGCTCTCCTAACCCTTACCCGAGATAGTTTGTCGTAGAGCAAGGAGATGACCGAAAAAAATGAGAAGAAAATAAGAAGAAAAAGAAATTGGAACGTCACCAACTTCTTAGCTTTCCCTCTTCTTAAGGAAGATGAAGGTGCCCCCCCCTTGATCTCCTTGCTGCAAGCTTCAAGAAAATTCTAAGAAGATGAAGAGGAATATCTCAGACTCTCCAAATGCTCCCTAAGAGAACTCTCTCTCAGCTCAAAACTGAAATGAAGTGGAGATGGGGAAGGAATGAGGATCTCCTAGGTTAAACCCAGTTCACGCAAGAAAATCCCCAACTTTCCCCTTCTTCATGCCAAAAATGGGTCGATGGGGGGCACTTAAGACCTTCTAAATTAGGTTGAACCCATAGTCATTACATCCCCAAATGCATATCTCCTCAAGCCCAAGGAGATCCTTGCAAGTTTGACTCATTGGGGGGTGGACCAGAGTCAGATCGACATCAAAAAAAAATTTTTTTTGCGGTCTAAAAATGAATCAGCGCCTAAGCTTCACAACCCTAGTTTCTTGGCTCTAAGGCTTTGGCGCCTAGACACCATAAGGTTGGCTCCTACTTTCCTGCCTCTCAGGAAAATGGACTGTTTTGAAGTTTTGTGGGCCTAGGTGCGAAAAACCTTGATTTACATCACGAGCGCTTGATAAAGGATTTTCTTGATTCAAAAGTTATGGAATAAAACATGTGAATGAAATATTACCCCATAAATTCAAGAATGAATATTTTTAGTGGTCTTTCATCAGGGAATTTTTCTCCAACAGGTATTCCAAACCATGCTTCAGCAAAAAGTCTCAAACCCTAGTTTTTGCTCAGATGACCATAGAAAGGCCCTCAGTGATCCAGAAATCGCAAAAAGTTACACAAGTATGACCTCATAACTCAAAAGTGAGCATTTGAGGAGTTTAAAACTTGGGTCTTGGTGTAAACAAGTATCTTGAACCCTCACGGAGTAAAAATTAATATGAGCCTGAATTTTTCCAAAATATGCGTGGAAGATCTTAAGAACTACCATTGGCCTGACAAAATTCCAACTTGATGAAGTTGGGTCTCTCAACATCAAAATGGATGTAAAACACGCTTGGAGTTAGGGGTAGTGCCACGTCATAATGAATTTTATCAAATAGAGCCAAATTGGTACAGGTCTTGGCTTCGTGCTCGTGTGCTCGTGGCACGTACCAAGAAGTCTGATAGGATATCTTTGATGATGGAAAGCTTAGCATATATCCTTATCCTTAAACGAAAATCTCGCTTATGTGACATCAATAACTGATGCTAACAAAATGCTTATTGGATAGAGCTCTGTAGCTTTATTGGATTAATTCTTACCCTGAATCATTATTTAAAGTTTTAAATAGTTATTCTTGTGATCATTGACCAATAATGTTTTTCTTGGAAAATGTTTCTTCTTTACATTGTAGATTTATGTTTAAAAATTATTGGACTCTTTGTCCTAATTCATACAAGTTGTTACTTCTGGCTGGAACAAATCTGTTAAAGGTAATCCTATACAATCTCTATTATTAGGCTCGCTTGTCTGAGATTGTAGCCTATTTTTGGTTTGTAGATCCCGCTTATGATGGTTGCAATTGTTGTTGTTTCCATTCATGTCTCTTTGTTGTTGTATTTCTTCTCAGCAGTTACTTTTTCATCTTGATCTTTGTTTTTTTGCTAGAATGTGGTATCGAGCATGATGAATTCCAATCATTATTAAAATTTAACTAGTTTTAAAATATATTTTATATGCTAAACTCTAGATGAAACTTTAATATTTTATCTCAGGTAAGTTCTGAGCTCAATCTTTCCCCTTATTTCCTTATTTTTCCTTTATTGAACTTGTGAGATTGTTTGTTTTCTATTTTAATTGTTTTTTTCCCTAGTTTTTTTTTCCTTTGTTTGCTGCTCTTTTGTCCTTTTTTTTTGTAGGTTCATCTATTAATGACTTGTCTGTCTGAGATGATAGCAATCATCTTCATTTGGTGTGAAGATCCTTCTTTTTATTGGCTGCAACTAGTTTTTTCTTTTGTAGTTCTCTTTGTTGTAGTTGTACTTTGTGTTTGATGTTTGTCCTTTCTTTTTCTTTGTGTGTGTTGTAATCATTGTTTGTTTTCTATTTTAATTGTTTTTTTCCCTAGTTTTTTTTTCCTTTGTTTGCTGCTCTTTTGTCCTTTTTTTTTTTAGGTTCATCTATTAATGACTTGTCTGTCTGAGATGATAGCAATCATCTTTCATTTGGTGTGAAGATCTTTCTTTTTATTGGCTGCAACTAGTTTTTTTTTTTGTAGTTCTCTTTGTTGTAGTTGTACTCTGTGTTTGACGTTTGTCATTTCTTTTTCTTCGTGTGTGTTGTAACAGTGTGTTGTAATCATTTGTAACGCATCATTTTTCTTTCAATAAAAGCTGGACGTGACACTCACATTTCCAAAAAAAAAAGTTAATTTTATTAACTTAACTTATTAATAATTAATATATATTATCAAATTAATTATACTTAGATAAATTTATATATAATTATTTAATAATTCATTAATGAAAAAAATACTTTTTAATCTTAACTTATTTAATAAAATTCTAAGTAATTATTAATTTATATAAAAAATAATTAATTAATGTTAAATTATTGATTAATAAGTAATAAGTTAAAAAAATTATTAGTTATTAATTTATATAACGAATTATCCATTAATGTAAATGCCACTTTTTAATTCTTTTATTTAATTTTTACATTGGATGTTTAATAAATCCAATTAAATTGTTTTAAAGTTGGCAAATAATTTCTCACAATTTGTTAGAATTTAATTACCAACATATCCAAAATTAATAAATATGAATTTGCAGGATTTACAAACCAAAATTTTTTTGGGCATTTTCATACAAGCCACCCAATTCTTATGTATTTACATATCAACACCTAAACTTTACTGTTTAGACTTACACCATACTATCCAAAAGTTTCATATCATATAAAACAAATATTACAATTTTAATTCTAAAATGTCAAATAAACCCTCAATACTCAAATGCATTAGTAAGGTGGTTGTTTGTAAAAGTTAGGGGTGACAATTTAGGCTCTGATCCGCTTAGATCGGACCATTTACATACAAACAACCCCACTTTTATGTATTTACATATCAAACACCTAAACTTTGTATTTTACATATTTACCACCGAAATCGTTCATATCATATAAAAAAAATCACCATTCAACTTAGAGAGAGAAAAAAATGTCTCTACTGATAAACCATTTCATCCTATTAAAATCATCATTATCGATAACATTATTTAAGAAATGTGGACTAAGAACCCACCTCTAAGATCTCAACATCAAGATCAAACATATTATCAAATAAGCCCAAATGAAAGCATTTATTATATTAATATGATTGCCACCTTTTTTTTGGCAAAAACACGAATTACAACCAAGGAGAGTTATAAATAGGAGTAATCACAGACTTGACCTTGAGAAAGTGATCCAATCCTTGGAGCCCACATTCCTTTCCGAAGCCACTCATTTTGAACCCACCAAAAGGAACATTAATATCACCAATCAGGTAACAATTGACCCAAACCGTCCCGGCACGAACCGACCTGCTAACTCGAGTAGCTATGTTCAGGTCATTTGTTAGCACTCCCGCAGCTAGTCCATACTTGGTGCTATTAGCCTTCTCAATTGCTTCCTCAGTTGTCCTGATTCAATCACAATATAAATCAATATATTAATATTCATGATTAAATTAATTTGTTTCTTTTTTGGTATAATTAGGATATAATGAAATGGAGAATATTATGGTTTTAAATTATAGTGAACTATAAATATATAATATTTAGTTTAATTGAATTTGGGATATTTTAGTAATTATGGATTAATTTAAGAGGATGACTGATTGAATCAGGATGAAAGTTTCAGTCTCAATAATTTCAATCTGTTTCGATAGCTTCAAAGAAAATCTTAAAAATTCAATCATAATTTAAGAAACTCGATAAACACCATTGAAACTGATGGCGCTATAAAATTGACAGAGATTGAGTAATAGATTATTGTCACATTGTTGTACGAGAATCCAGCACACACAGTTAGATGAAGGAAACCAACCAGTTGAGACATCAGAATGTTTTGCGTAAAAGACTCAGTAAGGAAAAAAAAAAAAAACACGGGTTGGGGGTATATGAAATTAGGGTTGCAGTACTTACTTGAACTTCATGACGCATATCATCGGGCCAAATATTTCATCTTTAGCAATCGACATATCCTCCTAAGAAAAATATATTCAAACCAATTTTAATAAGAATAATAAATTATAAATAATTAAATATTTTATTAACAAGTAGAGAGACATTCTTACCTTGACATCAGTAAAGATGGTGGGCTCTATGTAGTACCCTTTCTCACCTATAGCTTTTCCTCCTCTTAATAGTGTAGCTCCCTCTCTCTTCCCTGCCTCTATGTACCTTAGAACCTTCTCAAATTGCTCCCTATCAACCTAAAATTCAAAATTTATAAAGATTTACAATATTTGCAATTGCATCCTAGATCATTTTAAGGGTAAGAATGCAAATACTGCATTTTATCATATCAATAGAGAGATTTTAAACTTTAATAATACATACTTATAGAGAGGGGGAAGTATAACTTGGTTTATATTTTCTATTAAAATAAAGTGGCTTTTACAAATATATCACTTAATTATTATGTATTTACTCATCTACACCTAAATTTTACTATTTTAGATTTACACCACTTAAATGGTTCATATCACATAAAAATATCACAATTTTAAATTTCAAAAATTGAATTACACATTTTTCATGCATGGGTAATGTGACATGCAGACGAAAATTAAAGTTCAGATGTTATATACGTAAATACATAAGAATTGAGCGGTATATATGTAAATATTCCTGAATTAAATTAGTCTAACATACCTGAGGCCCTTGATGAACCTTAGTATCAAATGGGTCTCCAATCACCCATTCTTTTACATTTTCAGTCACCTTCTTCAAAAATTCATCATATATCCCTTCCTGCACATAAACCCTAGATCCTGCAACACACATTTCTCCCTGCAAATATTTTTTTTTCATTTGAATGAGAAATAGTATCATATAATATATAGTATTAAAATGTAAATAAGAGAATAGTTAAGTACCTTATTGAAGAAACCACCCTGCCAAGCAATCTGCACAGCCACATTAATATCAGCATCATTAAAGATAATTAATGGTGATTTTCCTCCTAATTCTAATGAAACAGTCTTCAGATTGCTTGCTGCTGCTGCTCCCATCACTAACCTCCCAACTTCTGTAGATCCTGTGAAACTCACCTGAAACATAATTAAATTACAACATTAATATAATTATTTTTTAATATGTTAATTAAGGAAATGATGTATTTAATTTGTATAATATATATATATATATATA